GTTTTTGAAGGGCTGTCATGTGGGAGAATGTTTAAACTTATTTTGCACCAGAGAACAAAACTAGCACCAGTGGGTACAAACTGTATAGAGGAAGATTTAAATTTACAGTAAATAATAAATAAACACTTAATCCTTAAAGCCATCCCAATGTGGAATGAACTATTTTAGAAAATAATGGGTTTCTCCTTAATAGAAGTTTTTAAACAAAGGCTGAATGACTATTTTTCAGAGATCCTTTAGAGGAAATTGTTCTGGACTAGATGGCCTCTAAGTGCCCTTTTAACAATAATATTTTGTGATTCTTAGTACTAGTTCTCATTTGATTTTTTTTTGTGTGAGATTGCCAGATAGATACATTCCTGAGAAGTGAGATGTTACCAACTGGGGAGCAGCCAGATTCAAGCCAAGGATCAGCAGAGAGGGACATGGATATATGTACACCTGAAGGAGTTGAATTCATGTTTATCAGTAAGATTCAATTAAATTAGATTAGACATTGATTTAGTGCCTATTATGCACAAGGCATTGTACAAGATCCTGCAGGTATAAAAATGAAAAGTGACATCATCTCTGCCTACAAGAATGCATTGTTTATTTGGGGGCTGAGGGTGTGGAAAAAGGCACATGTCTAAATACATTCACCCATTCAACAAATATTTATCAAATGCTCATTTCATGTAAGACCCAATGATAATCAGGAAGAGACAATTTTTTTTAAGTAGCATGGTTCTTGCCCTAAAGGAGCTTACAGTCTTCTAGGAGGATATCATATGTACAAAGAAGTATAATACAAAGTAGAATATGATAGAGAAACAAGGGAGAGATCCAGACAAAGTGATCTGTGAAAATTTGAGGAGGAAATTCTTTCTAATGTGACAAATGCTTAGAACAGGTCAAACAGAGAGGAAGGCAACTTTGGGAAGGGGTAGATCATTCCTTGGGCAGGTAGGTGGCACAGTGGCCTCAGACACATACTAGCTGTGTGACCCATGTAAAGTCACTTAACCCTGTTTGACTCAGTTTTCTCATCTGTCAAATGAGCTGGAGAAGGAAGTGAATAACTATTCTAGTATCTTTGCCAACAAAACCCCAAATGGGGTCATGAAGAGTCAGACACAACTGAAAATGACTGAACAACAAGATCATTCCTGTCTGGGAACTTGGAGAAAGGTTCATGAAGTGGTGGTATCTGAGTTGGGGCCTTGAAAGAAGAAAGAGATTTCAATAGAGGGAGAAGAGGAGTCCATTACAGCCATGGAAAATAGTTTGAGTTTATGAATTGAGTGGGGAGAGAGTATGGAAGAGGTAAAATGGGGTAAGACATTGGAATAGTCAGATAGTTGGGAAAAAAAAGATTAAGCAAAGGAGTAATGTGAAATAAGACTCTAAACATCCCCCCTTTAAATCTATCTTCCTGTCCTCTGGCTTCTGACTATATATAATCAAAACCATGCAAATGAGTACTGTCTTTTGTGATCTCTCATTTTGTAACAGTGCATAGCCCTGTTCCAGGTCCTAGGGGGGATAGATAGAGGACACAGTTCTTGCTCATAGGGAATTTACAACCTAGTTGGGAGACAGACGACCTAGGTTCAAATTCTCTAGCCCTGCTATTTACTACCTTTGTGACTTTGGATAAGTCATTTAAATTCTTAGTTCTTCAGTTGCCTTATCTATAAAATGTGTGGATTAGACAACATGACTATCTAAGGTTCTTTTAGCATGGCCAAGTGGAAAGAGTTCTGGGTTTGGAGACAGAGGGTAAGTTTTCAAATCCGGCTCTGCCATAAGTGGCAGATTTTGTGTAAAATGTGATTTTGTGTAAAAATGTCTTGTGTCTCTGATAGGAATGAAAGGATCAGCATTATCTCCCCTACAGCCTAGAGCATGGGATGCAAGAATTAAGTACTGATTGTCCAACAAGTGGAAGAAAAGTGGAGATAAAGGATGGAGGGGTCCAGAGCTGAGGTCTTATCTCCCCCTTCCCAAAAGGATAAGGGGATAATCTACTAGAATGGCAAACCAGGCATCCACATGCTCTGCTTACCAGGGCCCCACAGAAGAGGTGCAGGCTTCAGACAAGGGAGAGAGTCAAAGACACAGGAAATCTTTCCCAACTCAGAGAACCAAATTGACTATCCCAGTGAACAATTCATATTTCTATTTTTTTTTCCCTTGGTGAGGTAATTGGGGTTAAGTGACTTGCCCAGGGTCACACAACCAGTAAATGTAAAGTGTCTGAGGCCAGATTTGAAGTCAGGTACTCCTGACTCCAAGGCCTGAGCTCTATTCACTGTGCCATCTAGCTGCCCCAACAATTTATATTTCTAAAGAAGGCTGTGAGAGCCTTTAGAAAGCTGGGGAATTGTTTACTCTTCCTGAGGCAAATTGTCCATCTTCCCCTACCTGCTGCCCTTTTTCCTAGGCTTGCTTCCAGATGCTCCTCTAGTTCGTCCTTCACCCAGCCCTCCATTCTACTCCCCAACCCTTAGTCCCCACCACTGCTACCTTCAGTGGTTTCTCAAAGCCATGACTTCAATACAGTCTGGTCAAAGAAAGAATCAGATTGTGCAAGGGGTGGGGGTGGGGGGAACCCAGAGAAGAGGGGAAAGAGGGAAGAAGGAAAAACAAAAGTTTAATTTATCCCCTTTAAAAACACAAATCAAATATGGTTGGGAAGAGGATGAGAGGCCAAATACTAAGTATGTCTGTACTTACCTTTTTAGATATCAGTCTGCTTACCTATCTGTTGTGTGTGCATTGGGCAGTCTCTGTATGTCTGCTTTTAAGTGTGCACATGCTTCTCTCTATGTGTGTCTCTGGCTTGTGTATATGTTCACAAAGCACTCTCTGTCTCTCTGTCTCTGTATCTCTGTTTCTGTCTGTGTCTGTCTGTCTGTCTGTCTCTCTCTCTCTCTCTCTCTCTCTCTCTCTCTCTTTCTCTCTCTCTCTCTCTTTCCCCCTCTCCCTCTCTCCCTCCTCACACTCTTTCTCACACTTTCTCCTCCCTCCATAATTTTTCTGGGTCTCAGTGTGTTTCCTCATGTCTGCAGTGGAGGGCTGGCTCCCTATCACTGTGGTTAATCCCAAAGCCTCAGGTTGACTAGCTCACAGTGACCTCACCTGTCGGTACTTGGCAATGACCTCCGGTCTTTTTCTTGTGCTGTTGCCTATCCTAAAGCAAGCAATGGGATGTGAGGAGCAAGCTTGAAGTATCAGGGGAATAACAGGGCCTGGCTCCATCTTGGTGAAAGGGAGAGCAGCCAGAGATCTGGGTCGCTACAGGAGCAGCTTAGTTGGGCCAGTAGCTGTGTAGGAGGAGGTGAGGGTGGGAAGGGAGGCAAGGGATCCCCTCTCTCCTGCCACTACTCCTATAGTCAAGATCAGCAACTCCTTCCTCATATCCAAATTTGCTTTTTCTCTCCAATGGCAAGAGCTGGAGGGAAGCAATAAGCCAGAGAAAGACAGAATGGTAAAGCTTGGAAGAGATCATCTTTCCAATCATTCATTCTTATACACAAGGAAACTGAGACCCAAAGGAGGAAGTTACTCCCCTTTCCACCCCCAAGTCATAAGGCAAGGCTGTAGCAGAGAACAAGGAACAAGAAGTTCCATTTCATTCCTGAGCTCCCTGTGGGAGCCTGGGGAGGCTTTCCTGTCAGATTTGGGAGTGAGGAACAGGCAGGTGTGGGTTTGAGGACTTTGTGAGGCTTGAAGATCCAGGGCCTTTGGAGAAGGAAACACCGAGCAGTAGGAACAGTGGATCAGGCTGTCCTGAGTCTGCCGGGGAGAATCGGAGCTGGGTGTGAGGGTGTCTGCGCAGCAGCCAGATCTCCAATCCCAAGGAAGGGATGAGCTCACATTGCTCCACTAGTGGTAATGATTCTCCCCTCAGAAATGAAACATTGAAGGGGGGGAGGGATGAACGAATCTTTCCTGTTTTAGACATCTCAGGTCTCCTTTATTTTTTCACCACCTTCTACTCTACCCGGCGGCCACTAGTGACTTCCTGATACCCCTATCCCCCATCAAAAATAAAAGTAAAAAAAGGGAAATGAGCCTTCTGTTCACCTTCTCCAACTTCAGATGCAGCTGTTGGAGTCACAGCTGGATCCCATCTGCTGAGTGTGCGTGAGTGAAATAGGAGACACAGGAGAGGACACAGGATAAGCTGGGGCTCCCGGACCTCCTTCGAAGGCGGTCTAGGGATCAGGTTGTGGAGTGAGGGGGAAGTTAGAATGGAAGAAGGGAGAAGAGACGATGATTGACCCCCTCCCCCCCTTACATACACACAGTCGGTGGAGGGTAGAAGTGAGAGAGGGGCTGGGGGAGGAACATATTTTGATGCGGAGCTTCAGTGTACTCTCATTCTGTGACCGTGGTGCTGGTGCACCCGTAGCCACAGAACCGTGGACCCTGGGGGAGAGGCCTAGGGTTTCCGTCCTGGCACTCAGACACAGGGAGAACTTGAGGAGGGGTTATACATAAAGCCCCCATAGGCATTCTCTAACACATCTCTACTCTGGAATCCCTGGGAACACAGCCCAGCTGAGTCTTCCTGGGGTCCTGAGTCTTGGAAGGCAACTGCCGGCCGAAACCTAACTAGGACTGTGGGGAGCTGTCCAGGGTTCCCGGCCCTCTCTGCTCCTCCCTATTCTCTCTGGCTGGCTCTGCTTATTGGGTGGGGCGAAGAGAGGAGAGCCAGGCGGGCGGCGTGCCTGAGCAGCGCGCCGCAGCCAATGGAAGAGGCTGCTGGGACGAGTTGGGGGTGGGGGGTTGGGGTGAGCTTGTGGGCTCAGAAGCAGGCTGAGAGCGCACTCTTGCTCCGCGCTCCGCCCGAGCGCACTGGCTGCCGGCGAGGGGAGCGCTCAACCCAGTTCCAGGGCAGGTAGTGAGGGGCGCTCAGTCTGGCGCGGGTATAGGAAGTAAGGAGGGTGTTCAGCCGGTGCACCAGCAGACAGTGAGTGCAGCTCAGGTCGGTGCCTCCGAACAGTGCAAAAGGGAAGCTCAGACCTGTGCACCTGCAGACAGTAACGGGGAACATTGCACGATGCACCAGCAGACAGTAAGAGGGGCTCTCAGCTCGGTGCACGAGCAGTGAGGGGGGCCCTCAGTTCGGTGCACCCGCAGACAGTGGGGAGAGTGCTCAGCCTCGTGCAGTGGCAGACTGTAAGGGGCGGGGAAGCTCAGCCTCATATACTAGCAGACAATGAGGGGGGGCCTCAGCACCGTGCACACGCAGACGGTAAGGAGAGTGCTTAGCTCGATGCACATGCGGACAGTCGAGGGGGCTCTCAGCCTAGTGCAAGGATACGCAGTGAGAGGGTACTCAGCCTGGTACACAACAGGCTGTGAAGGGTCGCTTCCCCAGTTGCACTGCCAAACCGTGAGGGGGGAGGGGCGCTTCTCTAGGCTTAGGGACCAGCAGTTAGTGGGGGAAGGGAGGAAGCGTGCAGCTCCGGGTGTACGGTCACTCCCTCCAACCCTGCTCTGGCCACTTGGAGTGCCCAGCACACTCAGGTTCCCTTCCCCCTTCCTCTCTCGCCTTAGATTGCTGAGCCTTCCTGACCCTCTCTGGCCCACCTCTGCCAGAAGCTGCGGAGCCAGACGAGGCGGGGCTGCGGTCACCAAGTGGCGGGAGGCGGAGCCCGAGTCTTAGCCCCTAGCAGCCCAAAGAGGGTACAGCATCGCCAAGACACCGCGCCTTGGAGACACCTGTTGCCACCACCCTCCACCCCATTTGGCCCGCGTGCAGCTGACTGGCCCATACCCTAGAAGTGTGTAGGTTCTGCTCTTCGAGGCCGGGCTCCCTCCATCCCGTGGGCCTGGGGGTGCATGAGGTGGCGCTCTCTCAGCCTGCCATGGAACGCACCCTGCCCGACGGGGCCCTCAATGTGTCTTGGGGGCCGAGCGCTGGAGAGGCGGCAGCGCCTGGCTTCTCTGCTGCCTGGACCGTGGTCCTGGCTGTGCTGATGGCGCTGCTGATCGTGGCAACAGTGGTGGGCAACGCGCTGGTCATGCTGGCCTTCGTGGTGGACTCCAGCCTCCGCACACAGAACAACTTCTTTCTCCTCAATTTGGCCATCTCTGATTTCCTAGTAGGTAAAGTACACCCACCCTGGGTAGTGGGAGTGGGGCAAGTGACCAACCAGCGGGGGCTGAAGACCTCAGGGAGGGAGGGCTTCTTCGAGCTGAAGCTGCTGTGGGAAGGGTGTGACACGTTGAGTGCAGGCCTGGGGCTATGTGTGTGGCCTTGGACCCTGGTGCAAGATGAAGGTTAGGGGCAGCATTGAGGCTGGGGCCTCCTGGGAAAGATGTACAAGCAGTAGGTTTATAGGACCCTTGGGAGCAAAGGACATAGGGCAACTGGAGAAAGGGAGAAAATAGTAACTAGGATCCCTACGGTAAGATTCCCCAAGTCTTCCCGGAGTCCTCTGTGCTGAGTCTTATGCACTACCTGGGTGAAGTTGAGTAGGACACTGGCAAGAGCAGAAGAGCAAGGGTTCTGGAAATTTGGGACAGAAGGGCCTGGATGGGAAGATGCAGGCGGAGGTTCCCTGCGCTAGTTCCACTTCTTTCCTGCTGGGAGAAAAGGCGAGAAAACTTAGAGAAATTTAGGTATCAGAAACCACAGACTTATGGGGGAGGGGAGACGACTTGGTGCCCCCTCCACCCCAGTAACTGGAGGAACTGAAACAGTGAAATTGTGCCGTGGATCTATCTAGCATCTCTTCCATTTCTTGAGATATAAAACATGTGAGTGTGCTTGTCACTGGGAAAAATATCACTGGCCTTTGCTTCTGAATGGGGGGGGTAGATAGATGCTTCTCTCACCCTTACTCCTCTTTGAAGCTGCCAAGCAATTGTAGTAGGGATGGGGGGGGGATGTCGAGGGTGCCATACTAACATTTATCTGCTCCTACAGAGGAGGAAGCTGTGGGGAGGGGGAGACTTTGAACTTCCAAGCTAGAGGCAAGGAAGAGGGAGAGAAGGGATACAGTAGCAAGTTGTATAATGTTTGACATTTATATAGGCTTAGAAAGGGCTTCATCATTTGATCCTCACAACCCTGTGAAGTAGGTTGTGAAAAGATGAAGTGACTTGCCCAAGGTCACACAACTAGTAAGTGTATGAGTAGTAATTAGAACTCAGGTCTTCCAACTCTACATACAGTATACAGTGGCTCTCTCCACAGTCATTAAGCAGGTACAGATGTTTTATGTCTCCACCCCAGACCAGGGCCCTAGTTTAAAAAAAAATTCTTTGTCCACATGTTTTAGGAAAACAGAAGGAGGGCACTATTCTTTATGGTTGTTCTAAATGGGTGAGAAGGGAAAGTGGGGGAAGGGACAAGTCTCAGAAGAGAAGAGGAAATCAATAAGAACTTTCCAAAGTAATGAAAGTGGAGAGGGGGATGCTTCCTAAAGCAGGAGACAGGGAAAGGCATGGAGGTGCCTCTCTGGGAATGGTGAGAAAAAAATGTTGGTGACTGGCTGACAGAGGAGACAGATCTCCTCCCCCTGCTGTTCATGGAAACAATGGGTTTGGGGAGAAACTCCAGCTGGTGTGGGAGTCTGAGAAGCTTGAGTCTGTTGCTCCTACTGGCTGGAAGGGAGGGGCTTACATGGATGAATGTCTGGAGGGAGGGGCAGAGCTTTTCAGATTCGAGTCCCACTTGCAGGAGAGGACCAGAGGCATCAAACCTGCCAGAACACTTGGTGTGGTCTCTAGGCTGCCACAGCCATATGGTTATCACCTATTGCCATGGGACAAATGCAGCAGGAAGGGGGCCAGGCAACTTAGTGGTGGCTAAATGCCAGTGGTGAGGAAGGGGCTTATAGATTCTCAGCTACCTGGGATGGTATTTTTTCCCATTGACACAGCAAGAGGTGGTCACTTTATCTTTTAATTTTCCCTGACAGGGAAAATGTAGGCTAGAAAGAAATTCTCCCGCTTGCCTCCCTTTTGTGTCTTCTCCAACCTCCAGCCAATCTCAAGGACCTGAAAACACTGAGCTGACAATAGTGTAAAGCAGAATCTACTTCAGCTCTTCAAGGCCTGAAGCTTCAGCCCCTCCCCCAGTAGAGGGCAACAGTCATTTATCAAACAATCTAGGTCCTTACTTTGTTCTTTTTAGCTGCTAGATGACTGACTCAAGCCTTGTTCCCCTAGCCATTCTGTGGTTGAGTCCTGAATTCAGAGACCTTTCCAGAGACCTTAGTGTAAATATGAAAAAGAGGATACTGGATACTAGGCTGAAGAAGTCCTGGGAACCCTGTGGCTGCCTGACCCTATAGAGAAGCATGATTAAAACTCATATCTTTCATAGCATTTTAAAATTTGCAAAGCATTTCCTCCCACAACAACCCTGTGAAATATGAGGAAAATTCCCCATTTTACAGAGGAGAAAATGTGGGCTCAAAGGCGTTTAAATCACTGGCCCATGGTCACGTAGCCAATATATATCATAGCTAATTTTCAAACCCAAATCTTCTGACTCCACAGTTCATTGCTCTTTCCAGCAGAACACCTTGACCTGTCCTTGTATTTGCATCTTATCTACTTTCTTCCTTCCCCCTCAATCCTACCTGATCCTTGGGCCTTTTCCAAACTTCTATATTCTTTCCTTCCAGGAGCCTTTTGCATCCCCTTGTATGTGCCCTATGTGCTGACCGGGAAGTGGACCTTCGGGAGGAGCTTCTGCAAGTTGTGGCTGGTGGTTGACTATCTGCTCTGCACCTCTTCAGTTTTCAACATTGTGTTGATCAGTTATGACCGGTTTCTCTCTGTTACCAGGGCGGTGAGTTTCTAGGCTCAAACTATTTGGAAGGAAGAGGTGGGAAGCTGCCTCATCGCACCACTTCCAAGAGAGAGCCAGAGATTGTAGAGAAAACCCAGGCAAACATATGCCTCACCATGGCATGAGCAACCCCTATAGTTCAAGGATCTAAGGAAAGAATTGGGTAACCCCACTGTGCTAAGCAACAGAAGTTATTGCATGGTAGCACAGAAAGAGCATCAGTTCTGGAATCAGACTTACCTATGTTTAAATCCCATTTCTGAAGCTTACTACCTGTGTGACCTTAGGCAAGTCACTTTACCTCTAGGGATGGAGCCTTCATTTTTTCATCTGTGAATTGAGGGAGTTAGACTAGATAGCTTCTGGTATCCCTCACAGCTCTAAACCTATGGTCTTATGATGTTTTGCAATAAGAGGAGAAACACATTTTTTAAACTTCTAACTTTGGGATAGGGGGATAAATATTTAAACAGATGCCTCTAAGAGTTGGGGATCCAATTTAATTCAACATTTATTTACTGCCTCTTGTTTGCTCACATTGTGGCTGGCACTCTTCTCTCATTCAGTTTCAAATATCACCTCCTCTGTGACCTTTCAGATTTCACATACCACTTTGCTTGTACCTCTCTTAGTTACTTTTGTATTATGGTTACCTGTGTTTAATGTGCTATATCCTCTACTAGAGTATAAGCTCTATGAGGGGAAGAATCTCATTTTGTAAACCTAGTGTTTCCCCCAGAGCTTGTTGAATTGAGTGGAATTTAGTGGAAGAAGCTACTAGTTTTCTCTCCCTGGTGCCCAGGCTAGGACTGGATGATTCCAAAGTAAATCTGGTAAAGTGAGGAAGTGAAAAGGACAGGAACCTATGAGACAGGAATTCTAGTTCTGACTCTGTCATTGAATTGACTGGTGAAATCCTCTTCTTTGGATCTCCGCTGCCCCAGATAGAATAAGGGGGTTTTGACTAAGGTCCCTTCTAGTTCTAATATCCAATGGCTTTCACTCTTTTAAAACAACGAAAAAAGGAAATGATCTTGTTTTAAGGGTGATAGCCCAGCAGAGATGGCTTCTTTTTTTCTCCTCAGGTTGCATACCGTGCTCAGCAAGGCAATACCAGGCAGGCAGTACAGAAGATGGTATTGGTGTGGGTGCTGGCCTTCCTACTCTATGGACCTGCCATCTTGAGCTGGGAGTACCTGTCTGGTGGAAGCATCATCCCTGAGGGTGAATGTTATGCTGAGTTTTTCTACAACTGGTACTTCCTCATCACAGCCTCCACACTAGAGTTCTTCACACCCTTCCTCAGTGTGACCTTCTTCAACTTGAGCATCTATCTGAACATCCAGAAACGAACCAGGGACCGCCTGGATGTGGGCCGGGAGGAGCCTGGAGGCTCTTCAACCATGAGTCAGAAACAAATCCCAAGTTCTCCCTGAAGTGCTGGGAGTGGGAGCAGAAGATGCCTCGGGAGACCTTGAACCTTCACAAGTATGAGGCACACCCTTCAGACAAGCCAGATGGTGCCCGGGACTCACCCACATCCAGCTCCAACAGTTCCACCCATGCTCCTGAAAAGCCAAGGTCTTTGAAAAGGAGCTACAAGCCCTCGGCATCCACCTCATCCCTGGAGAAAAGGATGAAGATGATGTCACAGAGCATTACCCAACGCTTCCGGCTATCCAGGGACAAGAAAGTAGCCAAGTCTTTGGCAGTAATTGTGAGCATCTTTGGTTTATGCTGGGCCCCCTACACCCTCCTAATGATCATTCGGGCTGCCTGCCATGGCCGCTGCATTCCTGATTACTGGTATGAGACATCCTTCTGGCTGCTCTGGGTCAACTCTGCAGTGAACCCCATTCTTTATCCTCTGTGCCACTACAGTTTCCGCAGAGCCTTCATGAAACTTCTCTGCCCCAAAAAATTAAAAATCCAGCCCCACAATTCCCTGGAGCATGGCTGGAAATGATTCAAAGCTGGGGGAAAAGTGGGGACAACTAGGGAGTGGTAATGCTGCCAGCACTGCAGTAAGGGGTTCCTTACTGAAGGACCCATTTGTAGCTGGTTAGCCCTTGCAGAGGTCAGGAGAGATGGACTACTTTCTTGTGCGAAATGGGCAGGTTGCCATTATGGTTCCTTAAGCAGCTCTTCAATGCTGCATCCCCCAAGTCTCTGTGGGATGGCGTGGCTTTTTTTTTTTGCATGCCCCATTTTGGTCCATCAAAGGTTGCCCTTTGAGTCTGGTGCCAGCCATAAAGGCTTCACACTGTCAGGAGCTGGCCCATGGGTTCTTATAGTCTGAGCTTAAAACAGCTGCTCCCAGGAGAGCAAATAAGAGATGGAGGTGGCTGGGGTTATTCTAGTACAGATACTCTGGGTCTCGTTGGTGTTATTAAGCTGTCTCTCTCTTTTTAAGGTTTATCAGGTTGGGATTTTTTTTTAAGTGGTGTGTGTGTGTGTGTGTGTGTGTGTGTGTGTGTGTGTGTGTGTGTGTGTGTTTTCATGATCAGACATTCTGCCCTCCCCTAGACTTCTCTGACTTTTTTTCCCAACAGCCAGTCAACCCCTGCTGGCCTGGTCTTACTCTTTCTATATTTCTATATGCTGCCACCATAGGCGCTAGCTTTAGCCCAGCTCCATAGACCCCTCCCTCTTGCTCTTTCCACTGGGAGATTCTTAAGAAAGCAGATCATGGCAAGTGACCTAAAAGAAACCTTAGCCTATTGCTTCTGCTGTATTTTTCATTCTGGATATTTTAGGAAAAAGAAAAAATATATATGTGAAATTCAACCTTCTTTCACTATTTAATGAAGGATAACAAAAAAAAAAATCAAAGGAACTCAGTGCTCATGAAGCCTGCTGGATTGGCAGCCATGGACTCCCACATCCTCTTTTCTCTGTGCTGTTGACATTGTCTGAGCTGTGGCAGCTTTGAGCTACTTCTACCCCATTCCACCAATGAGCCACAAGCCTGTTCTAGAGAAACTAGACACTCTAAGAGCAATAAGACATTCTAGAGGACTAGAGAGTCTCAGAAGAGCTGGAGATGATTTGAGGAATGTTCTGTCTCCATAGGCTGCTCAATCATTGGTTCCTTAGCTGGACTTACTCTGCCGTCCAATGAAAGCCAATAAGATCTCAGCAGCAATGCTGCATTTATTGTGTTCTGGGCACTAGCAATAGAACTAGTGACATCAGTCCATCTCACTGAGGCTACTGGATGGCTCTAACTTCTTTTCACAGTTCAGTCCCAAGTTAAGATGGGTGATGGGAGTGAATTTGAGGTGTGGCTATTTCTGTTGATTTAACTACATCAGGCTTCAATGAGACATCAATCAATCCATCAGCAAACACTGACTTGTGCTTGTCACAATGGAAGAGGTCAAGAGGTATAAGACACCATCTCTGTGCTCAAGGAATTTGCAGTCTGGAAAAATTTTCAGAAAAGACATAAAATATCAACACATCCTGTAGTGACAGTAAAGGGTACAGGAGAAAACTGCCATGATTTCTTGAAAAACAAAACAAAAACAAAAACAGTTGCTATTTGAACATGGTTAACTTAGCCTCCCCTATAAGCAAGGACCTCCAGACTCTAAGCACATGTAATCATTTGACAAGTCTTTATTGAACCAGCCATGTGCTCCTCAGCGTGAAGGTTCTGATACAGCAGGAAGAAGAGATATAGTACCCTCCTCACTAGGAGCCTCATTGTTTAATTTGGGAGACAAGGAATTAGAGAACCTAAGGATGGTTAGAGAACAAGACAGAACAGAAAATGATCATACTCAAATGACATGCAATGGAATTTTTGTAGGAAGCAGGACATAACTCATCCAAAAAAAAAAAAGGTAGCATGCCCTTTGAGTCACCCTCACATGTGCCTGAACCAGCTGTTTTGCATGTTCCTGCTTCTGGCAATGCTTCTGCTGCTGCTACTACTGCCAAACTGTGAAGTGACAATAAAGTGTATTTTTTCATTCATTCAAGCTTTTTTGATGCTCAGTGGGAGGCAAGGGTCACTGGATTTCTGTTCCTGGTACATGGAACCTTACCCCAGGTCTAGTGCCCATCCCTTGATGGTAATGGATGGGATCTGGATTTGAAACCTAGTTTTGTCCCCTAATGTGTTATGTGGCTCTGGATAAGTGACCATCTCTCTGGGATAGTTTTCCATTCTATTAAGAGGGAGGAGGGAGATGGGAGACAGAGAATATTTTGAACCATATACCAAAATAAAAGAATAAGCATTTTGTGAATGTTCCCCCAGCTTTGACTAAAGTTGCAAAAATAGATCTAGGACACACATTTCTTTAGGTTTGCTGTATTATATTCCAGTGGAAAAAGAGCCCATGCACCTCTGAGTTAGGAAGACCTGGTTTCAGGTCCTGCCTCTGACAAATACTGAATATGTGACTCTGGGCAAGTCACTTAACTTTCTAATGCCCCCAAGTAACTGTCTAAGACTACAAGTTATAGATCAGTTGCTGAATTGCATTGGTAGAGGGAGTCTTCACTGGAAGTTCCACATGCCAATGAAATCACAAGTATGGTTAAAAAAAAAAACCCAGCAAACTATGATGCACGTTGTTGTATGATGCAGATGGCTTCTGTAAGACCACGATTAGGCCCTGAGGAAGAGATCTGTTAGAATATTTAAACCAACACTGAAGCTTAGCACCTAGAGTTACTAGCCTACACACATTATCAAGAGCCTTCTCAGCCCTGACACCCCCAACAATAGGAATAATACTCATTCACACAGTTAGGTATTTACTTATGCCTGTGATGTTGGAAACAGTGTGCTACATGCTAGCATGGGGTACAAGAGAAGAAAATGGGTTTCCTTTACTCAAGGGAAGTTAAGTTTCCTATAGTCCACTTAAAACTGACATACATGAAAAGATGAAACTACATGTCATCTTGAGGAATATTAATTTCTCTTATATATTACATATTTCTATTATAGCATACAGAACAAGGGAGGCAGTAGTCCTGCTATATCAGTCTTGATAAGACTACAGCTACAGCATTGTGCCCAATTCTGACCACTATATCTTAGGATAGACAAGCTAACATGCACTCAGAAGAGGACAATCAGGATGGTGAGGTGATTGGAAAGTATAACATATGAAGACTGGTTGAAGGAACTAGAAATATTTTTCCTGGAGGAGAAAAGGCTTAGTCAGGGAGATGATAACTATCTGAAGGTCAAAAGAAAGATTGTGGAAGAAAGGTTTAATTTGCTCTGTTTGCTCCCAAAGGGTGGAATTTGGATCAGTCAGTAGAAGCTATAAAGAGGCATATTTCATAACAACGTAAAGAAACACCTATTCATGATTAGATCTATCCCAAATTAGAATGAACTGCTTTAGTAGATAATGAGTTCCCATCACTGGAGGTCTATAAGCAGAGGCTGGATAATCATCAGGTACAAGTTAGATTAGATGACTTCTGATATCCCTTCCAACTCTGAGGGTCTGTGTTTTACATACTGAAGTAATTAAATGAACAATAAATACTATAGGAGATTGAAAAGAAGATCAAATGTGGGTTAGAATACCCAGAGAAGGCTATGTGCATATATATACATGGAGCACGTGGGGCATTAGCAGGTCTTAGAACTATGAGTGGGACTTAAATAGGTGTAACCAATATAGATTTCTATAAGTCTGTATTCCAACTTCCACTTGCACTGAGGCAGGTTGCCCAGATCAAAGTGATGTATATCAGCCCCTGAAGTAGGAAATACACAAACGTGAGATTTGTCTTTCCTAATAATTTTGGCTCAAACCACCATTCCTGTGTGTTCTCTTCAAAATCAATCTCCAGTTACAGTCAGTATATGCCATGTATCATTAGTTGAATTAGTGATCAGCATCCTAGTATTAATTTAATCATTAAATATTAATTGGCTTTTACAAAAAGGTATTTAATTAGAAACAAGAACAGACATTACAAAGCGTTTCTCCAAATTGGGAGCATAATCTTCCCTATATTACCTCAGTCTCTGCAGAAAGTCCCTGGGGACTCAAACTTAAATCATTTGCTACAAAGCATTCTCTCTACCAAGTTCACTTCTGAATGTGGCATTACTAATAGATGAACACCAGGTATATGCTGGTAAATGTTTAACAACTGGCTCTCCAATGTACTACACTTTTATGTTTAATCTGCATTATTGATATTTTCCCATCACTTTCTCAAGTCTAGTCAATCAACAGAACAATGAATCAAACCCTGATTTCTAGTTTCCTGTAGTTTGTCAAGGAGTAAATGCCGCACTGAACATTTAATGATCACCTCTAACTGGCTCCAGTGCACCCCAGAAACTACTGTAAGTCACTGCTCACTGGGCTTGGCTGCCAACAAACTCTGGTATGGTGTCCAGTTGCTGGACATCTGGTAACTTGCATTTTACACCTTTCAAAGCTCCCAAGTTCCCAGTCCATTTTATCTCTACTGCTACTACTTTTCTCCCCACTTTGAGGCTTAATGCAATTACCATTTCAATCACCACCAAAAAAGAGAGACATTAAGCTGAGTGTTTTCTCATTTCTAACTCAGCAGCCAATCAAAAATCCCTTTTCTTCACCTTGAGGTAGATGGAAAGGAATCAATTATAGAATACCTGTACATGCTCCAAAGTCCATGTGGAGCATTCCTCACCAGACAGTGCACTTCACATGCTTATAAAGACTGGGTTTTCATTGACACTCGTCCCCTTTCCATAAATACAGAAGTAGATGGGGATAGAGAGAGAACAGTACAGACAAGGAGAAGATAAACAAAGGCGCAGAGGTAAAAATGAGCCTAAAGAGAGTGAGAAGGACATACTGGTTAGATTGAAGGGTTGACGAATCAATCATTTTGCACCATTTCTCACCCTGTACTCTCCTGTCCCCTCGTATACCTGCATCTTAGGCTGGTAGACAAAGATTTATTTTCAAAGCTTGCATATGCACTCAGAACAGTGATTAGCACTCTTTTTATCCCAAACAAATTGAATTCATCTGCTTTGTCCCAAGGTGGGTAGAACTCAGAGTAATTAGTGGAAATCATTGAGGCAGATTTTAACTTAATGCAAGGAAATATTTTCTAATAAATAGAACTGTTGAAAAATGGAATGGGCTGCTCTCAGATGGTAGTAGGCTCCCCTTCAATGGAAGCCTTCCAGATGCCTCTTGAAGATAAGCACTTGTGAGGGAAGTTCCAGAAAGTGTTCTTATTTAAATTGGTCACGTGGATCCATACACACTCAGTTGGACTAAATGCCTCCTGATATTCTTTGAGCAATGTCTATGAGTATCTGAATCAGGCAGGGGTGAGGAAACAGAGGGTGAGAATGTGTACAAAGAAAGAGAGCAAGGAGGAAAAAGAAAGAAGAGAATTTGTTAGGGAGGGATAGAGATGGCCCCAGCAATGGCTTTGAGTAGTCTTCAGGGATATAAATTGCCAACAGTAATCCTAGTTAATAGGCTAAGTGTATATCCATATCTATCTATCTATCTATCAGTCTGTCTGTCTTTTTGTCTATCTATATACATACATATACATATATACATACATGTGTGTATGTATATATGTATGTGTATAGATAGATAGATAGATAGATAGATAGATAGATAGATAGATAGATACATACATACATACATACATATATGCCTAGTCTCTTGAATTATGGTGGCAACCCAACAGGTCTCTAAATTTTCTAGTCAGCTTTCTGTTGACCCTCATCCATTGTTCTATTCCTTACTTTATCCTGGCCTTAAGATATAGCAAGAAGCAAAGTTACAAAGCATTTCTCTCAAATGGTAGCAACTTCTGTAACTTGGCACTATCTAAGTCTGACTTCAAGGTTGAGGAAATGTTAGGATTAAGGTTAAGGTTAGGTTCAGACCTTTCTTTCACATAAAGCTTTCTGCTAGAGGAAGGGGTGGGGAGCTTCCTCTGGTAGTCATTGGATTAGTCAGGTCTCTTTTGTCATATCCTAGAGCCTTGACCCTCTAGACCTCAGGCAGTCAGTTTGTTTGATGGAGGGTGGGAAGTAGGAGAGTATGCTTCTTTTAACAATACTTAATATTTAATACTCATAAGCCTCTACTCCTTCCACTGGGCCACCAAATCTCTGTAAATTGGAAGATAAGAGTGAACGAACACTTTTAAGCAATGTAGCCTTCAACTTGAAAACTACTGTTCTCGATTCCTAAGAGAGAGAAAGAGGAGACAGAGAGAAAAAATTTAAAAAAAGCCTTTAGATTCTCTGGCAAACACTGCAGAGGGACAACTTTTTGCTTTACCCTAGAGAGAGAAACTCTCCCTTTCCCTAGCTAATGCTTCTCTTGGGAAGCAGACAAAGGAAACTAGGCAGTGTTTCTGGAAGACCCTGGAGTCAGGGGGCTTGGAGTGTGTGGGCAGAGGGAATGTCTATTTAGTCCTTTGTTGGGAGGACCAGGGACTGGACATCACACAGATATGCATCATTTTCCCAACCCCAGGCTCACAACATTATACTTGTTTAAAAACAAACAACATATAGGAGCCTAATTTACTTGATTCATTTCTTTTCAAAGAATCAGAGAAGAGGTCATCCATAGGGACTGATGGGGGTTGGGAGTCAACTGTACACAGGACCCATATACACTTCTAGAAATGGAATTGGACCACACAAATCCATCTACATTCGCTTACTGAGTCTCATTGTGATCAACAATCTGCATTTGTGAAATAGCTTGCTAGAGTTTGGGGTCAGGGTGTGCTGAAGCTAGGGCTCAGTCTGTGACTGGATTTGGGGGTCAGTCTGTGGTCAGGGTGATAGGCTAAGTCTGTGGCTGGGTATAGATAGAGTATGTATTATAGGGAGAGAAACTGGACTTGTGACTTTATTGATATAGAGAATTCTCAGATGAGAAACTCCCTCTACCAATACAGGTCAGTACCTTCTCTATAATTTGTATATTCTCAGACAGTTATCTTGAGCAGGT